AGATCGTACCCGTTGTTCAACAACAAGCAGAACCAGCGCAGCGGGTACAACGGCGAATCATAGCAACCAAGTTGTTACATAAACTTGCGGATATTCTACCATCCAATGAGTATGTACAAGTATTAATGTTTTGCAAGTGCCCAAATGTCGGTTCATACTGAATTGCAGGGTACGTAAAGAGTTAGGCCCTTGCGCACAAATCCTTTGCCAAGATTCGAACTCTAACGTCCGAACATCAATGGCACAACGGCTACCTGTCATCGCTAGAGCCTTGAAGTATGGAAAAATCCTGATTTTAAAATATTCAAAAATCAATAATTGATTTTACTCTTTCAGAAACTCATCAGACGCAGTTTCGCTTTTATTACCATGTTTCGTGCAATTATATCAGGATGATGATGTCACAGTCAAGGAAGCTTGTATGAATAACATTGCTCAATGTATACCGCATTTCACTAATGGCAAGGAAGAATTTTGTCTTGGATTACGGTAGATTAAAGGACGCTTTTCAGAGGCAAAGAAGAATACGGTATTTCCATTGATCAAAAAGTCGACGGAGCTAAGCTTGGAAAAGAAGGATGATACTTTGATGGTGATCGCCAAGAATTTTGGTGAATGGTGAGAACTAATCTCTTTAAAAGAAAAATGTCTCAGAGTATTGCGTAAAACGTATAAATAACAACTTTTTCAAGAGAAAAATGTTTCAAAATTTTCCATTGCGTAAATATACACTTATATGACTCTTTCCTTTATGGTTGGGTCTTCAATTTGAAGTGTGATTTTCTTCCTTAAACAAAACAAATCACTTTTCTATACTCTGCAATCTTCACAAATCTTGAAAAAAAAAATTCTAAATTCCCTGCGAACAGGTTTTCGGACTTTTGCTGTAATTCTGAGAGATAATCCTGCTTTTTTTGGTTATTGTTAGTCATTCTTACCTCCTACCTGCAATTTGCAGGAGCTACGTACTGAAAGATGTTCTGGACCGTCTAGATATGTGCTGGATACTGAACACATACTGCAAAATTGCTCAAATCTCACAAACTCAAACCGAGAACACCACACAGCAGATTATGTTCACAATGTGTCGACGTATGTCTGCATTCAATCTACCTGTGAGTTGATATCCTACAAAAATTATCTTATTTGACTTCTAA